ATACACACATACACACACACACAAATACAGAGAGAGAAGGAGGGAGAGAGAGAGAGAATGCTTCTATCTACTGGTTCATTCCCTAAATGGCCAAAACAGACAGGTCTGGGCCAAGCCAAAACAAGGAGCCAAGGACTCCATACTGGTCTCCAAATGGGTAGCAGGGGCCCAAGTACTTGGACCATCATCTGCTGCCTTCTCAGATACTGCATCAGAAGCAGAGCAGAGGGGACTCCAACCCAAACTCTGATATGGGATGCTGGCATCACAAGCGGCAGCTTAACCTGCTGTACAACACTGGCCCCCGATATGGGGTTTCTTTTTGGCATGATGAAAATGCTCTGAAACTATTTAACAGTGATGTTTGCACTACTCTGTAAATATACTAAAAACCTTTGAATCATACAGGTTAGAAGGGTAAATTTTACAGCATGTAAATTATATTTTAATTAAAAAAAAAAAAACTTAAGAAATACTACCAGCCATATGCAATGAATGGACCTTGTTTGGATCTTTATTCAAATAAACCGTGTTTTAAAAGCACATTTATGACAAAAATACATTTATGACAAAACATTAAAATTTTAAATAAAATACGTTTTTAAGAAATATTTATCTTTTTAATTTATTTGAAAGGCAGAGTTACAGAGAAAGAAAGAGTTCTTCCATCCTTTTGTTCACTCCCCAAATGGCCACTCCATCTCAGTCTCCCACATGGATTGCGGGGCTCAAGTACTTGGGCTATTTACTCCTGCTTTCCTAAGCCAAGGAGCAAGGAACTAGATCAGAAGCAGAGCAGCTGGGATTTGAACCAGTGCTTATATGAGTTATTGCACCACAACACTGAACCAATACATTTAAGAAGACCCCTGCACCCACATGGGAGACCCAGATGAAGTTCTTGGCTCCAGGCTTCAGGCTGGCCCAGCCCTGACCATTGCAGCTATTTTGAAAGAGAACCAGTGGACGAAAGATCTCTAGCTTGTTCTCTCTGCAATGCTTTAAAATAAAATCTTTTTAAAAAATTTTAAAAATAAAAAATGCTTATCAACAAGGTTATAACCAGCTTTTTCCTCCACTTTTTTGGATATATTTAAAGAGCAATCCCACAGTGGAGTCCAAAACCTGAATTTGATTCCTGGCTCTGGTTCCTGACTCCAGGCTTTCAGTAGTGCAGATCCTGGGAGGCAGCAGTGATGGAGTATTAGGTTCCTGCCAACCTCGTGGGAGACTAGATTGAGTTTCGGGGTATCTCTGACTTACAAATAAGTAAATAAAAATTTTAAGAAAAAGCACATTTAACCAAGACACTTTACAAAAGCCCTTTACAAATGAACTAATACACAGTTTGCCCCTAACTTGGATGCCTTGTGAACATGTTTTCTCCTGATGAGTGTTTCATCTGCACTTCATCTACTTGCCAGCGAGTTATACTAATATAAACAAGGTAGTATCAGGATTTTGTAAGCAGTCATGCTACATGTAAAATATGAACTAAGTGCTTCAAGCTAGCCAATCTGATTTTGAATAGAGAGACTTTCATAGTCTGTTATCATGAGCCAAGTTCTTTTCATCCCTTGAGGACTTGGGAGAGTAATATTGGATTCAGCAGAAAAAGCACTATTTGGATTGGCAAGCCTCACTTATATGCGGTATTCAAGCCAGTCTTGAAGGTAGACAGCTGCCCACCTGATGCAGATGAGGGAGTAAAATGAAATTGGGAATGGGAAAAAAGGAAGGGGGGAAAAAAGACAGTGAAGACTGTAGTTTTTTCAGTTTTTAATTTTTTTTTTTTTTTTTTTTTTGACAGGCAGAGTTAGACAGTGAGAGAGAGATACAGCGAGAAAGGTCTTCCTTCCGTTGGTTCACCCCCACAGTGGCTGCTATGGCTGGTGCGCAGCACCGATCCGAAGCCAGGAGCCTCCTGGTCTCCCATGCAGGTGCAGGGGCACAAGCACCTGGGCCATCCTCCACCGGCTTCCTGGGCCACAGCAGAGAGCTGGACTGGAAGAGGAGCAACCAGGACAGAATCCGGCACCCCGACCGGGAATAGAACCCGAGGTGCCGGCGCCACAGGCAGAGAATTAGCTTAGTGAGCCACGGCGCCAGCCATTTATTCAGTTTTTTACAATAACCCTTGCATGGGGGTGGAAAGGCAGGGTATACACAAGTTAATTATAACCAAGGCAGTAGTGATAAAAAGAGAATAAAAATTTGGTACTTAAATATTTGATGCTCAATTTACTAAGGAAAATATAATAACCAAGCTCAATTTTATTTATAAAACCTATTTCAACTGTCTATATGAGAGAGTATTTTCTTTTACTCCAAAAATACAAATGAGGCAAATACATATTTTAATAAATTTTGTACCACTAAGTAGCATACCAAAACTGCATAGTAGCTCCTACAGTCACATAACTGTTCTGGTCAACAATAGACTGCATATATGACAGTAGTTCCATAAGAGTACATCACTTAGTGATGTAACTATCTTAGCTTGTATGATCATACTTCATGAAATTCACAAGACAAGGTCGCCTAACAACTGAACTCTCAAAACATACTCTCTCAGGCAGTGCATGGCTGCATTTGGGAACAAGATCCCATATGTTATGGCTAAAATATTAGCTGCTGCTCACTGAAAGCTTACCGTGATGATAGAATAAGTGTGAAATATTTAACATATACTATTGCATTTGATTCCAATAAAATGTAGATGGTTGGGAGTACTGTCTCCATTTCACAGATTAGAAAACTGTTATAAAGATTAACCTGCCCAAGGAGCTTTGCTTTTGATAAAACTGAGACTTGAGAATGTAAAAAGAATTATCTCATAGAAGTACAGAGTATAATGGTGGTTGCAAAAGTATAGGGTACTTAGGGGAGTGTAGTGATGGGAAGACATTAATCAAAGGACACATAGTTACAATCAGATATCAGGAATAAATTTCAAGAGATTATTGGATAGAAGCTAACTACAGCTCATGATAGATCGCATACCTAAAAAATATAAAGAGAATAGATATTATGTATTCTCACTGCAAATTTCTTGCTCATGTGTTTGTTAATTAGCTAGATTTAACCTTTCTACACTTTACATCTACTTCATATCATGTTGTAGACATTACACACAATGTCATATGTAAATTTTAAAAATTTAATTAAAAGGGGCCGGCGCTGTGGTGCAGCAGGTTAATGCCCTGGCCTGAAATGCCAGCATCCCATATGAGTGCTAATTTGAGACCCGGCTGTTCCACTTCCCATCCAGCTCTCTGCTATGGCCTGGGAAAGCAGTGGAAAATGGCCCAAGTCCTTGGGCACCTGCACCTGTGTGGGAGACCTGGAAGAAGCTCCTGGCTCCCAGCTTCGGATCAGCGCAGCTCTGGCCGTTGCAGCCAATTGGGGAACCATCAGATGGAAGACCTCTCTCTCTTTCTCTGCCTCTCCTCTCTCTATGTAACTCTGACTTTCAAATAAATAAATCTTAAAAAAATTTATTAAAAAAAAAGCTAAGATTGAAATGTTTGATTATGTACCTACTGGACATCAATCTAGCACACTTGATTCCATGGTCTGGCCCATTTACAGTCAGTACCCCATATCCTAGGGTTCCACATCCAACCACATATTTAAATTTTGGGGAAGAAAAAAAATTCATCTGTATTGAACATATACATACTGTATTCTTCTCATTATATTCTAAATAATATAGGACAATAATTATTTACATATCATTTTCTTGTATTAGGTATTTTTTAAATATTTACTTATTTAATTGAAGGAAGAGCAATAGAAAGACAGAGAGATCTTCCATCTGGTGTGTTTACCTCTCAACTAGCCACAATATCCAGGTCTGGACCAGGCCAAAGGCAAGAGCCAGGAACTCCAACCTGGTCTCCTACGGGTGGCAGTGGCCCAAGCACTTGGGCCATCCCCTAATGCATTTCCAGGCAAATTATCAGGAAGCTCAATCAGAAGTAAAGCAGTTGGGACTCGAACCCAAAGTGGCAGCTTAACCTACTGTGCCCCAATGTTTGCTCCTATATTAGGCATTCTAAAAGTAATCTAGAGGTGATTTAAAATATAGAGAAGGAACGTATATGTGGTTAAATGCAAATACCACACAATTTTATAAGGGATCTGAGTATCCATGAATTTCAGTATTTTTGAAAGATCCTGGAAACAACTCCCTACAGATACCATGGGAAAATTCATATAGATGATTCTGAGTAGAGGGTTTATTTGTAAAAATAATTGTACTGAATTTCCACATCCCTAGCACCAAATCATCTAAGACCATTTATTTTTCTCCTCTGAGTGAGATGAGCCATCTTTACTGCATCCCCCTTAGCCATTGCTTCTTTCAAGGTGACAGATAATGCAGTCTATGATAAAGGATAAGCAGAATGGGACAGCAGATACAAACATTAAGGCAAGGATCCAAAGATATTAGCTCTAGAGTTGGTTTCAATGTTTGCTAGTCAAGGCAAATCATTTAACTTTTTTTCTTTTTAGTCACCTGACCTAATCCAGTGTGCCCTCTGCAAAAGATGTCTGCAATGATCAAATGAGATGTGACACAAGAGACTCTGCAAAATGTAAACTACAAATGGTGTTATTCATGTCAGAGAACTACATGAGGCTTTCTTCCAGACAATGTCCTTATTCTCTTCCCCCAGACATACTCATATGTTAACAAATAACTATCTGGAGATACATGCCATGTCTAAAATGCATAGAAATGAAGGCATGATGGGAAACTCAGGACAGACAGAAGAAGGATGCTACACACACTACCGGGCACACATTTCTGAGCCAAGTGGAACCTTGCAGGGTTCATCAAAAAACCAGATAGACCAAAAATACCCACTTAATACAACTGAACCCATGTATTAATGAATTTAACAGTTTTATGCTGAATGATGTCAACAATTCCTCCTATACTTTATTATTAACATACTAAAATCTTGCAAGAGTAAAGATAATGTGGTGAATACCTTATTCCAGCCGCTGGCATGAACTGCAGTCTCCAGTGTACACTCACGATATGCCTGATATGTCACTGGCCTGTAGAGATTTTTTTAAAAGTCTGTGTCACAAACAAGGAAAACTCTATTTCCAGATGAATAAATATACAGTCACTGCTCTTTTGTTGAACTTTTGTTAAAGTGACAAGAATTATTCAACACATTGTTTTTTACAAGATGTAGCTTTTTTATGTTTGCTATGCATTTTTAAGCTTTCTATAGGTTTCACATTTTTATGATACAGGCTAAGGTGCATGCTTGGGAATGTGGTTAATAACACAGCAAGATAAATGTATATTCTCATTAAGTTCCTGTAATTGCTTGGAACTTATCTGGTAGAACTACTGTGCTGCAGATAAATACTTGGGTTATTGAAATAAGATCAAACACTAACAAATAAAAAATTATCTCAGTAAAATTAAAAGTGGAATTTTACCTGTTTTTAAAGATAGAAAGTCTAAAATATTTAAAAACTAGACATGTCACTGGAAGACTTTTCAAACTGAGAATACAAGGAGCTGGAATAAACAAGAGCAATAATGGAGCCCTATTTTTAACTTGGAGTCTTATGATCCCAAATCCTGGCAGGTAGAGAAAGAAGTCCTTCTGATTATTCATATGTAAGTACTGATCACGCCCAAAACTCACACCTTTGAGTAATGACCATCACTCACTAGTATGTTGAGAGATTTTAAGTACTATATTTTAAGCACTAGTTTCACACATAAAACAAACAAAAACATGGTATCAAGTAATGTATGAAGGCATCCATAGCATGGGTAACAGTTTAATAAAATTTGCCCCTTTTTTGTCTTTTTGGGGCAAAGTATTAACAGACATATACAAATGAGTAAGAGAAGTCTTACTTTTGTAAATTTTAAAATCTTCTTCCAGGGCATTTTCTGTTCTGCCCACTCTGGTGTGTGAACTCTTTGGCCTATGAACATTTAGGCTAACAGTAAATACCAGTCATTGGTTGTATACTAAGCAAGGTTTTCTGTTTTTAAATATTTGTATTTTATGTTATTTTACATACTAGAAAACAAAACTCAGAAAAGTTGAGACTACTGCAAAACCACACGGCAGCCAAGCAGCAAAGTAGTGCTTACACCCACTTAGATCTGGCTCCCAAGGCCACACTACTCTCATCTCGAGTTATGATTCTGACACATGCCACACACAGCACTGTTCAGATGCCACATACAGCTAATGATCCTTTGAAATGTGGCTAGTGGCTAGTGTTGAGCTGAAGGGATAAAATACATACACTGGATTTCAAAAAGGAAGAAAAAAGAATGCAAAATATTTCTTTTTTTATATTGAGTTGATGCTGAAATGATACATTGAGTAAGTATACTAGGCTAAAAATATACTTCTAAAAGTTAAAAAAAATTATTACCGTTTTTTTCCTAATGTGCCTTGCAGAAAAATTTAAATTACATACATGTGACTTACGTTTTATCTGTAGGACAGCACTGATCTAGATATTTTGGAAAAAAAGTTCTGGTGACATACATATCATTGTTTTATAGAAATCAATATCAAATCAATACTACAGCATGCTGAAAAATAAGACAGCTTTATAATAAAAAGATGTACACAGTATATAGTATTTTCCTGACATCACATTCCCATTAAAGTAAGCTTAACTTTTTTTTATGACGCCTTGGGCTATATACCAGCTTCCTGTAACCTTGAACTTCAGCATATATTATATAGTCTATGTACCTATATTCTTTCTGAAACTTTACTTGCATGTATCAGCACCTTCACTTCCTTTCCTGAACTCTCTGATGCTGCTGTGGGTCACAAGCAGTTGTTATAGGTGTCTATTAAGCTAAATACTTTAGCATCCTTCAGAATGAAACATGATTTGAAATATTATATTTACATACATATAAGCACATAAAAGATGCAGATTAAAACATTCAAAGAAAATCTACTACATAGAAACTAAGCTGAATAATCAGTCCCAGTGGAGAATTAATTAATTCTTAGCAAAGAAGAAAAGGGGATTATGGGAACTAATATACTTAGTACTAAAAAAATGTAATGCATATGAGTATGAAAAAAAAAAAGAGGAGAAGGGATGTTTTTTTGAACCTACTGGTGTTCTAGAGGAAGAGTTCAGAATTTGTGTCCTATTTCAATAAAATCATCCAGAGGCAAAGCAGGTGGCGTTTTCCACCTTGAGATATTGCCTTCAACTAGTATGATACTTCTGGTTTATCATAAATTATTTATTTTCAAGGTATGAGTTAGAGAGCTTAAAACTTCAATAGTAGATTTGTGGAAAAAATTTACCATAAAGAGACTAGTATGTGACCAATTTCAAAAGTAATTATATCAGCATTCATTGTTTGGGAAACAATATTTATCCAAGCTAATTTTCTTTTAAACATAATTTGCAATGAGAAGACTATCAATTTTTCCTGTAGATTATGAAAGCCTCCAGAATACTTTAAAAAAATCATAATACTATTTTTGACAGAGTTGAAAATTAACAGATGTAGAAATCGACATATAAAGAGTATAGTGGTTTATTCAGAGCCACAACAGTTTATATCAAAGTTTGAAACTTTGTCTATAACTCTCCGTTATATTCCCAGTCCCAATAGCCCTTGCAAGTTTGGGGCTTTCTTTTCTTTTCTTTTCTTTTTTTTTTTTAACGAAGCAGCAAATGTCTTTTGCAAGTCTTACAAGCAATCTCAATATTGCCCAACATGCCAAATACATGAAGGTGTAGGTGTTCTGGTTTAAGAAGAGTACACAGGCGCTGATGAGCCCCATGCACCCAGCCTATCCCTTACCTCCTCAGCCTCTCAGAGACTAAGGCTCCATGGAACACTCTTTGAAAATCATTGCTATAAATCCAAATTTCCTGTTTTCCCTGACATATTTATTTTAACTTTTCTGTATATAAAGAAAATCCATGTACAATTTAATTTCACTGTCTATTCTAATTAAGATGTGTTTACATTTCCTCATTTTAACAGGAAACCCAGAAACAAACTGAATTCCCCTAAAACCCAAATTGCTTTCTTCTTACAAACAGTAAATTATGAACTGTGCCTACATGAAAGGGCAATAGTAATTACCACAAGAGTAATTTAACACATGAATTCTAGCCTTTTTATTGAGGAACTTTTGCCATTTTATGGAGCTGTCAATCTTCATTAAGACAAATACAAGCCGTCTGCAAAAAGTTCATGAAAAATACGTATTATAAAAAAATGATAATGAACTTATTGATGGGTGGGCAGAGACTGTGCACGAATTGTCATGTTCTAGTTTGGAAAAGAAATTTAAAAACCAATGAGCGGATTCCAAAAATTTTTTAACGTCAAAATAAACTTATAATTCTGTTTCCATGAACTTCTTGAAATCCTCTCATATTTTTTATAATTCATATCAATTCTATAATGAATCCTGGCAAAGAATTAGGAGAGACTGATTCTTAAGATTTATAATACATGATTTAGACCCATTGTTAATACACTTTATTACTAGCTTCTTGTCTTTAGCGCAGTGGTTAGCAGAAAGATTCCCACTGTAAATGTGGAAAAAGTTCCAGGGGCAGATGTGCAACCTCAAAGTTTAGCAACATTTGGGAAGCAGATATAATATTAAATTCAAGTATCTAAAATACTGACATAATGTTACTCCCACATGACAATACACAAAAGCCAGCCATTATCTATTACTGGATACAAGAAATGGTAGTAAAATGTGGTCAGGAAAAGTGAAATAGCTGTGTTTGTAACTCAGTAAAAGCATGTGTTCAAGCCTGACAGCTCAACAAATAACTACAAATGATCAAGCCTGTGATGAAACAGGTAAATCACTGCTTTGATGCAAAGTTTCACTCAAAACAGAAACAGAGATGCTTTGGGAAAGCAAAAGAACAAGCAGTGCACAAAAGTGAGAAAAGAAATGACACTGTGCATCTACAACAAAGCCTTAACCAACTGAGTGCTGTGTGAGATCCAGGGACTACTTAGAGAAGCAAGCACATGCCCACTGGGAAATGCTAACTCACTGGCTGAGGAGCACCTGCAGTGCTGTATGCAGAGGTTCTTTCAGTTCCTGTGACACTTTGTCTCCAAGATGGGCCAGGCAGTCTTCGATGGAGCTTTCTGGGTTAGCAGGGCTAAAAACTGGAGAAGTATGACGGTCGAAGCCAGTGCTGGTGAAGGCTGAACACAGTACAAAGAAAAATGTAAGTTAGTAAACAATACTATAGATTGTGCTATAGAAACAAGCTAGCAGTTATATGCCACAACAAAGGTCAGATATTCACTACAGACAGTAATCTTTCCTGTAACACAAAAACTAGCAAATCCTAAATTTAGATTTTTTTCCAAAAAATAGAAAGGTTTAATGGAAAATTATAGCTTTAATATAAGAAAATTAGTAAACTGACATGTTAAAAATGCTAATCAAGTTAGTTTACTACTACTGACCAAGTCAGTATAAGAATGATGAATTAGGGCAACTGAAAATTGATCCCTGTTAAATATAACAGTGGGAACAAGAGAGGGAGGAGACGTACAGTTTGGCACATGCTCATTCAGACTTACTCCTAATGGCAAAGCTAGAAACGTGCCATGGGATTCCAAATCCCATTAAGGTGGCATGTACCAATGCCATCTTACTAGTTAAAGTGATCAGTTTAAGTTCATAATTGATCATAAAGACAGGATTAAGTGTCAAAGGGATCATATAAATAAGACCGGTGTTTGCTGAGAATAATTGACAGAATTAAAAAGGACAGAATGATCCAACATGGGAAGCGGGATACACAGCAGACTCACAGAATGGCAAATGCCCTAAACAGCACTCTGGCCTCAAAATGAGCCCTTAAGGCATTCAGATCTGGCTAAAAAGCCCATGAGAGTTTCTCAGGCATGGCAAGCCAAGACACTGTGTCAAAAAATGACCTAAATGAAAGATCTCTGTGAGTGAGATCCCAGCGGAAAGAAGGGACCATCAAAGAAGGAGAAGGAGGTACCTTTCTCTGAAGAGAGGAGAGAGCTTCCACTTTGCTTATGGCCTTGTCTAAATAAGGCAGGAGTTTCTGAACTCAAGAAGCTTCCATAGCCTTGGCAGCTCATGCCAAGAGCCTCGGGTGATTACTGATGGCATAAATAAGAGTGTCAATTGTTAAATCAACAACGGGAGTCACTGTGCACTTACTCCCCATGTAGGATCTCTGTCCTTAATGTGTTGTACTATGAGAATTAACGGTAAAACTAGTCTTCAAACAGTACTTTATACTTTGTGTGTCTGTGTGGGTGCAAACTATTGAAATCTGTACTTAGTATATGCTAAGTTGATCTTCTGTATATAAAGATAATGAAAAATGAATCTTAATGAAGAATGGGATGGGAGAGGGAGTAGGAGATGGGATGTTTTGCGGGAGGTTATGGGGGGAAACACTGCTGTAATCCAAAAAGTTGTACTTTTGAAATTTATATTTATCAAATAAAAGTTTTCTAAAAAAGAATAAAGAATGATGAATTAGGGGCAGGTATTGTGGCACAGCAGGTTATGCTGACACTTGGGGCACCTACATCCCATTATCAGAATGCCTGGTTCAAGTGAGCTTCTGATCTAGCTTCCTGCTAATGGGCCTGGAATGCAACGATAATGGGTCAAGTACATGAAACCCTGATGCTCACTTAGGAAATCTGGTGGTACATCTGGAGACTGAATCAGCAGATGGAAGATTCCTCCTTCCCTCTCTCTCTCTCCCCCACCCCCATCTCTGTCTCTCCCTCTTCGGTCACTGTAAATAAATCAATTTTTTTTTTAAAGAGTTTTGCTCTCAAAAATTTTTTTTAAATAAAAGGAAGAATGGTGAATGGCAGCAGGTGTTTAGTGGAATACTTAAGATGCTATATTGCAGTGCTTGGTTCAAGTCCCAATTCTTCCACTTCTGATCCACCTTCTTGCTAATGAATACCTTAAGAGGTAGCAAATGATGACTCAATTACATGAGCTCCTTTTTATAGAGAGGATTCAGATTGAGTTCTGGGCTCCTCACTTCAGCCTGTCCCAGCCCTGACTGGTGCAGGCATTTGGGGAATGAAACAGCAGATGAAAGAACTCTTTCTTGCCTGCCTATCTCTGTGTGTACCTGTGTCTTTCAAATAAACTGAAAATTAATTAATTAATTTTTGAAAAGGAATGATAAATTGGGGCTGGCACTGTGGCATAGCAGCTAAAGTTGCTGCCTGCAATGCCTGCATACCCTATGGGCACTGGTTTGAGTCCTGGGTGCTCCACTTCCAATCCAGCTCCCTTCTGATGCATCTGGGAAAGCAGCAGAGGATGGCTAAAGTACTCGGGCCCCTGCACCCATGTGGGGGATCTGGAAGAAGCTCCTAGCTCCTGGCTTCAGTCTGGCCCAGCTATGGCAATTGTGGCCAGTTGGGGAGTGAACCAGTGGATGGATGAAGGATCTCTCTCTCTGTCTCATCCTAACTCTGCCTTTCAAATAAATACATAAATCTTAAAAAACAAATGATATATGAAGGCTGAGTATTTCACACAACAATTAAACCATCCCTTGGGATGCCCACATCCTATACTGGAGTAGCTGGATTCAATTTTAGGCTCTGCTTTTTTTTGTTTTGTTTTGTTTTGTTTTGACAGGCAGAGTGGACAGTGAGAGTGAGAGTGAGAGAGAGAGAGAAAGGAAAGGTCTTCCTTTCCATTGGTTCACCCTCCAATGGCCACCGCGGCCAGCGCGCTGTGGCCGGCGCACCACGCTGATCCGATGGCAGGAGCCAGATGCTTATCCTGGTCTCCCATGGGGTGCAGGGCCCAAGCACTTGGGCCATCCTCCACTGCATTCCCGGGCCATAGCAGAGAGCTGGCCTGGAAGAGGGGCAACCGGGACAGAATCCGGTGCCCTGACCAGGACTAGAACCTGGTGTGCCGGCGCCACAAGGCGGAGGATTAGCCTAGTGAGCCGCGGCGCCGGCCCAGGCTCTGCTTTTGATTTCAGTTTCTTACTCATGAGCCTAAGAAGCAGTAAATGATGGCTCAAGTATTTGAGTCCCTGACAACCACTCAGGATACACAGATGGTTCCCAGCTCCTGTCTTTGGAGTGACCCAGTCCTAGCTGTTGCAGGCATTTGGGGAATGAACCAGAGGATAGGAGATCGATATCTCTCTCTCTCTCATTCTCTCTGTGCTTCATATAAATAAAAGTAATTAACATACAAAATATATCTGTAAAAAAAAAACTCTTTAAAGAAACATTCTTTTTAAAAAGAGTGATTTAAAAAAAAAAGAAAAAATGAGTAATAAATAAGAAGCAACTCCTGACTCCACCATCCACTGCTAAGTACTTTGTTTTTACTTTATTATTGTGGTACTTCTTAAACTAGATTATATTTATTTGAAAGTCAGAATTATACAGAGAGGGAGAGAGAGATCTTCCATCAGTTATTTCACTCCCCAAATGGCTATAATGGCTAGAGCTGGATCAGACCGAAGCCAGGAGCCAGGAACTTCTTCCGGGACTCCCATGTGGGTGCAGGGGCCCAAGTACTTGGGCCATTTTCTGCTACTTTCCCAGACGCATTAGCAGGAACTTGGATAAGAAGTGGAGCAGCGGGACATGAACCAGTGCCCATATGGGATGCCAGAGCTGCAGGCAGCAGCATAACCTGCTCTGCCACAGCACCAGCCCCTTAAGCCAGATTCTAATTAGTTTATTCCACCTCAGAGGATGAGTCCATTGCTTTCAAATATTCCTGCACATAGATAAATTTTAGCACTCATAAACTTTCTTTTCAACTTTTGGCTTCTTAACCACTTCCCAACCCCATGTTATAAAGACTTAGCATTTGTTCAATACAAGGAAGAAAAACTGTTGTTTTTTTCTTTGTAACATTTTATTTATTTGCAAGATAGAAAGACAGAGATTGTCCACCAGCCAGTTTATTCCTTAAATGGCTGCAAACATCAGGGCAGGGCCATGCTGAAGCCAGGAGCCAGGAACTCCATCCTGGTCTCCCACATGATGGTAGGGGCCCAAATATGTGGGCTATCTTGCACTGCCTTCCCAGGTACATGAGCAGGGAGCTGGATTGGAAAGTGAGCAGCAAAGACAGGAACTGATGCTCCAATATGGGATGCCAGTGGTGGTTTAATCTGATGCACCACAACAACGGCCCCAGGAAGAATAAATTTTTTTTAAAGATTTCATTCATTTATTTGATAGGTAGAGTTATAGACAATGAGAGGGAGAGACAGAGAAAAAGATCTTCCATCCACTGGTCCACTCCCCAGATCACTGGATCAGGTGGAAGCCAGAAGCCAAGATCTTCTTCCAGGTCTCCCCTCTGGGTGGCAGGGACGTAAACCCTTCTTCCACTTTCTGCTGCTTTTCCCAGGCCATTAACAAGGAGCTGGATCAGAGGTACAACAGCCGGGACATGAACCAGTGCCCATGTAGCATGCCAGCATTGCAAGTGGAGGCTTTAACCAGTGTGCCACAATACTGCCCCTAATGTTATTAGTTTTAAAGGAACCAAATGCAAACCAAAACAGAATACAGGGGCCGGTGGTTTGGTGTAATAGGTAAAGCCCCCACCTGCAGTGCCGGCATCCATATGGGCACCTGTTCAGATCCTGGCTGCTCCACTTCCAATCCAGCTCCCTGCTATGGCCTGAGAAAGCAGTGGAAGATGGCCCAAGTCTTTGGGCCCCTGCACCCATGTGGGAGATCCTGAAGATTGGCACAGCTCCAGTGATTGCAGCCAAATGGGGAATGAACCAGCAGATGGAAGATCTCTCTCTCTTTCTCTCTGCCTCTCCTTCTCTCTCTGTGTAACTCTGACTTTCAAAATATAAATAAATAAATCTTAAAAAAAAAAACACAGAATATAAAGTACCTTAATATGGTTATTTCTTCTGTCACTTAACCAGAAAAGCATACATCTAAATATTAGAAATAGCTGGAAATTGTTTACAAACCTATCCCCCAAGTGAGAAAAAGGCCAACTTCTTCTTTCACCCTTAAAATACTGTGCAAATGAAGTCAAATAATGCTGAGAACACTCTACTGCAGAAATCAAATCAAACCAATGGTGAACCACACCAAACAAAAAATAAGAATCAACAGACCTTCAGAAATTTCTTTGTCCAGGGATTTTAGCTCTTCTTCAATTTCAGATTTAACTTTTAATAAAACTTCTTGATCCAGAGATTGTGAAGCTACATCTAGTTGAACCCCTGAAACCAACAAGAAAAGTTATTATTCCAAGAGGGAGAGAAAAATATTATAAAATTGTAATATTTTGGGGCCAGCGCTATGGCACAGCAGGTTAATGCCCTGGCCTTAAGCACCGGCATCCCATATGGGTGCCGGTTCAAGACCCGGTTCAAGACCCAAGTCTTTGGGCCCCTGCACCCTCATGGGAGACCTGGAAGAAGCTCCTGGCTCCTGGCTCCTGGCTTATGCCTGGTGCAGCTCTGGCCATTGCGGCCATCTGGGGAGTGAACCAGCGGATGAAAGACCTCTCCGTCTCCCTCTCCCTCTCCCTCTCCCTCTCCCTCTCCCTCTCTCTACTTCTGCCTCTGCCTCTCCTCTCTCTGTGTAACTCTGACTTGCAAATAAATAAATAAATCTTTTTTTAAAAAAAGGTAATATTTTGCCGGTGCCGCGGCTCAATAGGCTAATCCTCCACCTAGAGGCACCGGCACACTGGGTTCTAGTTAGTCCCGGTCTGGGCGCTGGATTCTGTCCCGGTTGTCCCTCTTCCAGGCCAGCTCTCTGCTATGGCCCGGGAGTGCAGTGGAGGATGGCCCAAGTGCTTGGGCCCTGCACCCCATGGGAGACCAGGAGAAGCACCTGGCTCCTGCCTTCGGATCAGCGCAGTGCGCAGGCCGTGGTGGCCATTGGAGGGTGAACCAACGGCAAAGGAAGACCTTTCTCTCTGTCTCTCTCTCTCTCACTATCCATTCTGCCTGTCAAAAAAAAAAAAAAAGGTAATATTTTAACTATTAGAAAGTGCAGTGCAAAAATAAAATTTGATTATTGAAGCTAGGGAGGCTTGGGGAAGCATTATGCATAGCAGGTATGGATACCGCCTGCGATGCCAGCATCCCATATGGGCTGGTTTGTGTCCCAGCTGCTCCACTTCCGATTCAGCTCCCTGCTAATGGCCTGGGAAAAGCAGCAGAAGATGGCCAAGTATTTGGGCCCCTGCCACCCAGTTCAGAGACCTGGATGGAGCTTGTGGGTCTGGGGAGTAAATCAGAGGATGGAAGATTTCTCTTTGTCTTTCCCTCTTTGCAATTCTGACTTTCAAATAAATAAATAAATCTTAATAGGGAGGGTAAGGAGACACTTTCTGCAATCATTTAGAAAAAAAAAAAAAACATTTTTAGAAACATGTGGGTTTATATTGAAAGAGAAGTCTGGTAAAACAGAATACAATAAACCTCCATCCTTCTAGATGTTTCTGCCAGGAACAGAACTTTCAGAAACACATTAACTCAACAGATTAGGGAAGACTCCTACTAATATGCACAAGTCCTTTCTTTTTATACATAATAAATTGTTTTAAATATATATATATACATATATGATAAAGCCAAATAAAATAATTCATGCTATTTTACCAGTCATGGAAGATGTCTATCCCTTCACTTCAAATTATGCAGATCCCATGGGTTAAGCCATCACTTGCAGTACCAGCATCCCATTTCTGAGTGCCAGTTCCAGTCCTAGCTGCTCTGCTTCTGATCTAGCACCCTGCTAATGTTCCTGGGAAGGCTGTGGAAGATGGCCCAAGTACTTGGGTCCCTGTCATCCATGTAGGAGACCTAGATGGAGTTCTCAGTTCCTGGCTTTGGCTTGGCCCAGCCCTGTTGGGGCCATTTGGGGAATGAACCAGCGGATCAGAGACTGATCTTTGAGCCCATCCACATCTCCCACATGGGTAGCTGGGGCCCTAGTACTTGGGCCATATTCTGCTGCCTTCGACAGCCCTAGACACATTTTTAAACAGTAAACTAGCATTGTATACATGCTTTGTAATTTTCTTTCTTTCCCATTCTCAAACATTTGAACAAAGTGAAAAGCTGCCTAAGTCCACAACACACACCTAATGCTAAAATTTCACCACTTTGGATATAATGATTTTCTTTTTAAAAGGCAGAGTTACAAAAAGATAGGGAGAGACAGAGAGAGAGAGATCTTCTATCCACTGGTTCATGCTCAAATGCTGCAACAGTTGAAGTTAGGAGCCAAGAATTTCAAACAGGTTTCCCATGTAGGTGGCAGGTCCCAAGCACTTGGGCCATCTTCCACTGCTTTTCCAGGTGCATAAGCAGGGAGCTGGATGGGAAAAGGAGCAGCAGGGACATGAACCAATGCTCATATGAGATGCCAGCATTGCAGGTAGCAGCTTAACCTGCAGCACAATGCTGACCCAGGCATAATGATTTCTTTGCCTCAATCAAATCATTGTGATTTATAAGAGTTATGCTCATCACATTTCTGATGCGTATTACTAATAATTTAATTTTTTCCAATAATTTTTAAACATGCAACAAAATAGAGGCTGACACTGTCACACAGCAGGTTAAGCTGCTGTCTGTGAAACCCACATCCCACATTAGAAAGCAGGTTTGAGTCCTGGCTGCTGTGCTTCTGATCTAACTCCCTGTTAATGTGCCTGGGGAAGATGGTCCAATTACTTGGGTTCCTGACACAGATGGAATTCCAGACTCTTAGCTTCAACCGGGCCCTACCCTAGCAGCTGTAGCCACTTGGAAAGCAAATCAGTAGATGTAATATTTGTCTCTCCTTTCTGTCATTCTGCCTTTCAAATGAGTAAGTCTTAAAAAAAAAAAGTAACAATAGTTATATATCTGTATAAGCAAAATATACAAAGAAGATAGCGCAAAGACCTGAAAGAAGTATCTGTGTGATTTGACATCCCAATGACCAGTTACAGTAATATCAATACATAATAACAGTTAATATGGAACACCAGGTCCTATACTGTATGCTACACATTCTCTTTCTCCCTTCCTTGCTCCCTCATCAAATCCCTACAAAAATCCTTAGTGATATGTATTAGAATTATCTTCTTTTTATAAGTGAGAAATCTGATACAAAGGGGAAATACATAACCAAAGACATGCAAACAGCAGAGCTCAGATACAAAGCCTGGCAGTCTAGGTAGAGTCTGAGCTCCTAACCACTGTACAACATTGCCTCCTATCATGCTTCAAGAAGTAGGTGACATAAAATCAAACACCCAAAAGTCTGATGATCTTCTAATCATAGAAGTTTTGAGGCTTTTCTGAAGCCCCTTAAAGAACCTGAATGAAAGAACAGCACCTCTTCACATCTGTTTGGAAAGCAATTTCATAGTATTCATGGAACCTCCCCAGACTTTCACAATCCTTTGTTAGAAAACTTCATTAATCACCATCTAACTTTCTTTCCCTTCCTGATCCCCACACACCCAACGTGTTGCAAAATATACTGTTCTTTCATTTGGTTAACATAGCACAGTTTTGTACTACTAGGTAAACTGACTTAATGTGCAGCAGTCCATAATCAGCAGAAGGTTCCTGGGGGGCAGGCTTTGTGGTGCAGAGGATTCAGCTGTGTTTTGGGACACCTGCATCCCAAATCAGAGTATCTGTTCCAAGTCCCAGCCATTCCACTTCTCATCCCAGCTTCCTGCTAATACCTGGGGGCAGCAGATGAGGGCTCAGATACTCAAGTCCCTACTACTGACACAGGAGACTTAGATGGAGTTCCTAACTCCAGGCGTCAGCCTGGCCTAACGCTGGCTGATGCAGGCTTTTGGGGAATGAACCAGAAGATGGAAGATTCTCCCTCTTTCACTTGGCCTTTCATATAACCTCTAGTAAATAAATAAAGGCATCCAGGGAAATCAATCAAGAAGAGTAATATAGGAGCAGGCATTTGGCCTAGTGGTTAAGCCACAGCTAGGGACACTTGATTCCATATCAGAGTACTTGGGTTCTAATTCCAATCAATTCTAACTCTTTGCTATTGTACTCCTTGGGAAACAGCAAGTGATGGCTCAACTTCTTGGGTCTCTGCCACCACTGCGGGAGACCCAGACTGAGGTTCCCACTGTTGGCTTCAGCTTGGCCCAGCCCTGGCGATTGTGGGCATGTGGGGAGTGAACAAGCATGTATTAGGCTCTTTGTCTGGCTCTTTCATTTAAAAATAAACTTTTTACTGAGTACCCAAAAAAAAAAAAAGGAATGTAGGCATGGAGTGGGGGCTACCCAACAAAGGAAAGATTTGTATCTGGAGAATAGAGCAAATGGAGACCAAAAGGTTCTCCTGAAGTTTAAAAGCAAGCAAATATTGGAGTAAAGAGGCATCCTTTCTTTTATTGCTTTAAAATTCTTAACACATTGTAAAAATATTCTTTCTTGAATAAATTTTTCTTTTGGTTTCAGATGACTTCAGACCTGTAGAGCAAAAGTTTCCATTTGGACAGAAATTAAAAAAAAAAAAAGACAAACCATTTGACTCACTCAGCAAAATCTCTACACTTCTGGGACATGGGCCAGATTCACAATCACTCCAATAACCCTTGCTTGGTTTTTAGCTGAAAGCATTCCAGGAAGTCAAAATAATTTTGAAGCATTCTAGGAATCTGGCTCATTTCTGAGACTTATATACAAGGTTATTTGAACACCTTTGGGTTCAAATAAGTCAGATGTTTATCGACCAGAACTTAAGAGCAATTTTTCATTTCCCTGAAGATTTGAGATAAATAAATTGTTAGGAGAGCTAGTGAAGTCCCTACCTGGGATAGGGGAAGGGCCTGTGATCAACTATATTCCTCCTTTCTGCAAGAATCCCAGTAAAAAGAAAAGCAGCACCAAGATGCAGATTTACCTACTATTCATTCACACACACACACACACACACACACACACACACACACACACAAAGACAAAACATAATCATTTACTGAGTACTTGCTATTTGTCAGGAATTGTCTTGAGCATAAAACAAAAATGAGTAAGGCTTGTAAACTATTCAGTGTGGGGGAGTTCAGGAGAGGCAGGAAAACAGTAAGCACTTATTTAACAGATATTGGGGTAACTGTCTAATATGTGTTATTTTATTTAATTTCCATGCCAATCTAATGAGAAATGAAATAATAATTCCATTTATACATGAAGAAATTGAAACTTAGGTTGTACCACATGATGTAAGAGCT